ACTTCCACTTGCAGGGGCCCTATGTGGGTCAGAGTAGAGCTGTGCACCACAGGGTTTTCAGAGGCTGATTTTTCAGAAGTGGATTCCCAGACCTTTCTTCCAAGGTACCTCTAGGTAGACTAGAACCACAACCTCATGATTAGCAGCTGAGTACATTAGCTATTTGGATCACCCCACTGACGCCAAGAACCTATTGCCACTGAGTTTATTCTAATTCATTTTGGCCCTTATAGGCTACAGTAGAGCTGCCAAATAGGATTTCCTAAAGTCCTGGTGTGGTGCTGTAGATTAATGCATTGGACTGCAAGGTTGGGTTGAACTGCAAGGTCGGCAGTTCAAGCTCACCAGCTGCTTCTTGGAAACCCTATATAGGGTCGCTATGAGCCAGAACCAACTCAATGGCACTAAACAACAACCGTCTTTACTGAGGAGTCCTGGTGTGGTGTTATAAGATAAGCACTTGACTGCAATGTCTGTTTAAATCGCAATGTCGGCAGTTCAAATTCACCAGCAGCTCCTTGGAAACCCTATAGGAAATTCTATTGTTGGTGTTGTCACTATGGGATGGAACTGAATCAACAGCACTTAACAACAGCAATGGCATTCTGTACTGAAGTAGTCTCACCTGTCTTCCTCAGAGTGGCTGATGGATTCAAACCGCTGACCTTGCAGTGAGCAACCAAGCCACCAGGGCTCCCTCACAGTAATGCGTGCCTGAACTTGAAACCCCATAGCCTCTTAAGACCTCCCTTTTTCTTCTCCTGTTGAGTCAAGTGTCTTTTGTAATGTGATTGTTTTGTTTTGTTTTTAATGTTATAAAAGATGCTGTTCTGTTTCATGATCTTAATCTGGATTCAGACATTGAATCCCAGGTTCCTCTTTAGACAAATGATCTATTTCAAGTTTCTATTGTCATGGGAGGATCCATGATGGCACAGTGGTTAAAGTACTTGGCTGCTAACAGCAATGTTGTTAGCTCAACCCACCAGCTACCGATGTGTTCGAACCACTGACCTTTTGGTTAGCAGCTGAGTGCTTAACTATGGTACCACCAGGGTTCCTTTTGTATCACCCAAACCAAACCAAACCAAACCCAACCCACTGAGTTGATTCTGATACATAACCACCTGTATAAGGTCTCCGAGACTATAAATCTTTACTGGAGAAGACAGCCTCATCTTTCTCCCACGGAGTGGCTGGTGGATTTGAACCACCAACCTTGTGGTTAGCAGCTCTCTTGCTACTTTCTTAGCAGCTCTGAGCACAGTACCTGGATCACAGAGTTTCCTTGATACTGAGTCCCATTTACTCATGGTGGAGATGGTGGGTGTGGCTCAGGCTCTTTCTCCCAGGTTAATTTCTGTCTCCTTGAATAAACACCCTCTTCTCTGCTCATCTTACTCAAATACGACCACAGTATTCATGGACCTTCCATGTATATTTTAGAATAAGTTTGTTGAGTCCAGAGATTATCCTCACACTGGAAATTTGAGTATAGCTTCATACAATTTAGCAATTAATTTCAGAAAAAAATATATGTACTTTTATGATGTTAAACTTTGTATTCTTGAATTATATTAAGTCATCAACCCATGAACATAGTATTTTTGCCTCCTTTAGGTATTTTCATAGCATTTTGAACTTTTCTCTGTTAAGGTTTGGTGAAATCTTTAGGAAGCAAATTTCTACAAATGCTATAGTTTGGGTTGGTGTTGTGAATGGAGTCTTATTTTTCTATAGTGTTGTTTTAGTTGGTAAATAAACCGCGCCATGGGCAGTAGTGATTCCATGGTAGAATTCTTGGTCTCCATTCCCAGCTAGTATACCTCAAACCCAACCAACCACTAACTGTCTGTCTGTCATTGTTATTAAATGTCACTGAGTCCGTTCTGACTCACAGTGACCCTGTGTTGGGTTTGAACTGCAGATCCTGTGGTTAGCAGTTCGGTGCATATCCTACAGCGCCACACCAGGACTCCACATCTGCCGGTGGAGGCTTGCATCTTGCTATATAATGAATAGGTTTTAGGGAGACTTCCAGACTAAGACACACTAGGAAGAGATGCTAGTTGGTCTGCTTCCAGTGAAATGAGCCAGTGAAAGCTTTGGATCCCAGTGGCCCTGTCTACAACTGGTTATGGGGATGACAAGGCCTGGGCAGCATTCCATCCCATAGGGCATCCGTCTACCATAGTCTGGGGCAGACCCAATGGCTATTAACAGCAGTAACAGCTGGTCCTGGCGTAGAGGAATAAGTAAGTTGATTCAGCAATTTGCTCAAATCTTGTTTTGTCTTGTATTTTGCTGCTTCTGTTCAGTTTTATATGAAGGCACCTCATTTAGTGCAAATCGTATGATTGTTTCTATACAATTGGCAGCAAAAACCTAAGCTGTTTAACAAGGAACCTCAGCACTAAAGCAGCTTAAAGAACAAATATGTTGACTCTTTTCTTGTTCTCATTCATATACAATTTCCGATGTGAGCATTCTGGTGGTCCTCAAGGCCCTGGTGGGAAGGAACATACATCTCTGGCATCTTAACTAAAGAACTACCCCTCATCCCCCCACCCAGGGAAGCATGGGTATTTCTTGCAGGGTCTTAGCACTGTAGGAAAGTTTCCTATTTATTCCTGTCAAACAGCATGTTTCCAAAGACCTCATGGGTTCTTCATTCCTAGAGCAGTGCCTTGTGTTTAATTGTTAATTGTTGTCGAGTCAGCTCTGACTCATAGTACTGTGTATAGGGTTTCTGAAGAGTGGCTCGTGGGTTTGAACCACAGATCTTGTGGTTAGCAGTCCAGTGTTTAGTTGTTGCTGTTATGTGCCGTGGAGTCGGTTCTGACTCATAGCGACCCTGTACAGGGTTTCCGAGGCTGTAAATCTTTACGGGAGCAGAAAGCCTCATCTTTTTCCCACAGAACAGCTGGTAGTTTCAAACTGCTGACCTTGCAGTTCGCAGCCCGATTTGTAACCACTACGCTACCAGAGGTCCTTCCAGTGTTTAGTAGGCATCCAAAATATACTCTAAGCAAAGTGCAGACAGGAGTGAGATGCAGGACATTAGAGGTAAGGTGCTGAAATTTCATAATAACAACTAAGGACTGGTCTCTCTCTGAGTCCACTCCATATGCCCACCTTCAAGTCTGATGCAACAAAACTGGCTCTTCCTAAGGTTCTCCCTCAAGGGGAGGTTGTGGGACTGGGCAGAGTAGATCCTCTGAGTGTCCCTTTCCACCTTCCACACCCCATTGCATGATGGCTGGGAACTTCAAACCCCACAGAGTTTCTGCATAAACCACCTACCCACTTCCCCCCTATGAAGCTCTCCCACATTCCAAGAGATCGATATTTATTAAGTTTATTTTAATCAAGAATAAATACATGATTTAGCAAAGTGTTAAGCTTCCCACTCAGACGTCCCTCCCAGGGGCCCCACAAACATTCCAATCACATTATTCACAACGGAAAACAATAGACTAGCATCTACAAACATCTGGGGTCCGTCTGAGAGGTTGCCTGGTGAAGCTGCCATTGTCCATCCACACTGTCACATTTGTCCCCTACACGGTGGCTGGTCCCTTTGAAACAGACCCTTTGGGATTGTTGAGGAAACCACAGTGTCAGCTTGGGTAGACACACTGGAGTCTAACGGTATAGAAAATCATGAAAATGCAGACACTCGTACGGGGCCGGTGACCTCAGTTCCACGTAATGTACCCATGACCAGAAAGACTTCTCCCAGCAGACCCAAGAATTCCATATGCACCCTCCTGCCACCACCACCCCCAGAGCCAGTGAGTCCTCAGTTCCTTCAAAACCCCTTCCTCACAGGATCTAGTGGACTCCCACCCTTGGCCTCTCTGCTATCCCACCTCACAGAGAATTATGTGCACTGGGATTAACCCACTCTCTCCTCATCTTTCCACCAGCTCAGCATTTTTCTTCATGTGAATGCCAGACCCCTCTTAGAATAAAATACCGAGTGGCTTCATTGTTTAGAACTCATCTATTTCTTTTTTTCAAAAATATCTTCCTCACTCCAACCATTCATCACTCTATCTGAAGGTCCTGCTTATTAAACAGGACCATCTGGACCCCCCACCCGATCTGAGCACAGGTCCCACAGCTCTCTGATTGCTCACATGATTTTCACATTTGTTTATACATCCCTCCCCTCTCTACTCTGTGAGTATGAGCTGGGAGCTGAGTCCTCATCATCCTTTGGTTGGTTGGTTGGTTGGTTGGTTGGTTTGGCATCTTATACAGGAATTAATGCAATCTGAGATGCTCTTTCTATGTTGCAAAGCCCCAACTGAGCATCATGAAAACTGGCTGGATTCCAGGACCACTTTCTGCTTCCCTGTCGATTGCTAACCCCTCTCTCGTGCTGTGTTCCCCCTTCAGAGCGTGAGACCACTCACATCTGCACTTCTGGCATGGTCTCAGGTATCAGCCAAAGGTATCTCTTGAATTGAGTCTTTGCAAGGGACCTCCGTGGCTCCTTCCATCCCCGGCATCTTCCCGGGTTCCTCACAAAACAAACTAATAAGGAAAGCTGCTGCTTAGTGTTGCTGAGTTCCAAGAAGAGGTGTGTGCCCAAGGTCTCCGTATGGATGGGCTAACAAAGTCTTAGTCCGCAAACCCGGGTCTTCTGTCAGCCACTGCTTTAGGTCCATTTTCTCCTGTAGGAGTTCTCTCGAATGACTACAGTGTGTGCACTTTCTGGAACATTCCTTGCGCACTCTCTGGGGAAGTGCATACACACATGTGTGAGGAAGTTCTTTTGAAACACTGCCTCTTCAGGTCATGAGTCAACATTTATGACGTCACCACACCAATCAGGCACCAGGAAAGTGTGGCTTTTGTCACCATGTAGGTGAGAAGATGAGAGTCTGAGTCTCCATGGGCTCCTTTTGACTTCTGGAAGAGGGTCTCGGGTCCCCAGCAAATTGTTTGAAGCCCCATTTCTTCTGACACATAGCAGGGTGGTGGTTCTCCAGCTAGTCTTCAAAGTAGGGTGGGGAGGAGAAGAAGGCACTCTTCCTCTTACTCCCACTGTACATCAGGGAGACGCTTTTCTTCTTCCGATCAAAAGAGGTGCCGTCGTCCCCAGTCAGTGAGAGGTATGAAGCGATGCTTTCCCGAAGGCCATAGCTGAACAAAGATTCATCCACGCCTAGCATGCCCTCTGCTCCCTGGGAACCGTCCTGCAGTCTGGGGGCGGGAAGAATGGGGCCAGAGGCAGGGAAGAAGACAGGAACACAGAGGAGAACAGGAAGGAACAAAAAGGTTAGGTCAATATCATCATTACTCTAATTCTGGGTCTCACCTTTGCAGCTGATCTTGGACATTCTACCTGTCTGAACCCATTTTCTTGAATGGCTAAAACTCCCAACTTTCTGTAAATTTAAGTAGATCTTAAATTTCAGGGCAGTTTTAGGCTTATGAGAGAAAGTTGTGTAGAAAACACAGCAAGTTCCTGAATATCCTCACCATGCTGATGCTTTCTGAGAGGGGTCTGACACAGCTTGACATTAACACAAGATTTATGTGTGTGGCTGCCTCAGGACTGGGCAGCATTTGCTTTTGTTGGGTGCAGGGTCTCTGTGAACCGACTTGGTCATCAGCTAACAGGGCTTTCTAGGAGCTTATCAAATAGATGCCGGTGATACAGTGTGCTTCATTGCTGACACAGAGCAAAGAACAGCAACTTGGAAGCATTTGGAGCCCTGAACCGAAGGTCTTAGTGACTATGAGCACAGGGGTGTCTTCCCGAGTCTGTGGGATCTGACAAGTCTTCAGCTACTTGTGGTACCCGCCCTATGTTCTAGCAGGGCCCACTATGTTCATGCGCCAGAACCCCATGCTGAC